CCTCAAGACAAAACCAGATTCATTAGCTCTGTCAGATCTTCCCCCTGCTATGTTGCTTGGAATTTAGGGCACAATGAAAACCTCTGCCATGTTTTTGGGAACAATAATGTGCAGGCAGCCTATCCGGGAGGCACAGTGTTGGGATGCCTAACAGAAGAGTAGTGAAATAACTCTAGCAACATGACTGTAGTGCTTGCCTCAGCACGATACCTGCAGAACTGCTTGTTTTGCTGAATAAATCCAACATTACTCTTGGACCTGTACCTTACTAAATATGAAAAAAATCAGAATGGAGTTTAGATAAATCACTGAGATTAGAACTATAAAATAAATTCTGTAGTTGAACCAAACTCTCTAGATATTCAGTTCTGTTGTTCCATGCCATTCATGTGTTTGTTTACTGAACAAGAGGAGATGAGTTAGATTTTAATATGCCAGTAGGTGTTGTAAAATGGCACAAGGGAAGCATAGCCTTCCTTGGATAAAATAGAATGAGTAGAAGATTTACAAGATACATTGTTATTCAGCTGGATCACTAGTTTGCTCAACAATTTTATTCTTCATGGCTTGGATTGATATTCTAAGGGTGGTTAAAAGGAAAGAACTTAGCAAATAAGACTGTATCAGCAGAAGTAAAAAATTGAGATATATTGGAATTGCTGAGACTATTGTGGTTCAAAAATGCAGAGTCTCTGAAGGTACAGGGGAATAGCTTGCCTTGAATAACAAACCTTGGTTTTTTGGTAATGGTGTAGTCCTTGGACCACCTGGAGAAGAAATGTTAATACTTTCAAGACACTTCAAAAATTCTTCAAGACAAATTTGTTGAATGTCCACTGCCTTGCCATCTTTTAATGCCCACAGGTGATATTGAATTAACTAAAATAAAATCTTCATACTCTTAGCAAGCATGTACAGAATTGATATAAATAACTTGGCTCCATTAAGTTCTATAGAGTTATGTGGACTGATGTGGGTTGAATGGAGCCCTATTTGTTTAAGGTGGGCTTTTTTCCTGTGCTTTCAAAATTGCATGCAGGTTATATTTATTGTTAAAACTAATAATAGTGTTAAAAGAACACAGATGCAATCTGCTGTTTTCTTTCAGGGTCCTCATATGACTATTGACAACAACTTGTGAACACGATTGTTGAAAAGATAAGATTTTCTGAGAAAAATGATTGAGACCAAGGGAAAAGTTTTGTTTTCTCTATTCCAGATGCCATAGTTGCCCTTGCTACTTAGAAATATAAAAGCAGGATCACATTCTTTTTCCCTGCAATTTTTCCTGAAACCTGTAGTTGAACATGCTGAAAATTTTCTCTCTAGCTAGACAATTTTCAGTGCTGTCTAAAGGCTAGACATGTTTAGTTAGCATGTCTCGCTATTCAACCCTCTGCCAAAGAGTTTTATATAGATTAAATCAATTAAACAGACTATCACTATAGTTTCATTGCATTTGATGTCTAGCTATTCAAAACCCTGGATCAACTATTCCAGGCACAACTCCTCACAACCATTCCTCATCTAATGCATGTAATGCATTGCAACCATTCTTCATCTTTTCCATCGCTTCCCTCCATATGTATGACTGCACAGTTTTACTTTCATTTTTTCACACATCACCAGCTCTGTGATAGATTGTTTTCTAAATAAAAACTTCTGCAGGCCAAATCCAGTTTTCCCAGTTGTTTCAGTTCCTATACACTGTCAGTTAATTCTACATTCTACTTAGTTTGCCAGTTCATATTCATTTCAGGTGGAGGTCTCACTCTGCCAGTGCATGCTTCACTGGCTAATTTCCTGAAATTACTTCAGGCTTCCAAAACTGAGTTGTCTCTTTAAAGAGAGCTGTAAAGAGAACTTTAAAGAGAGGCTACAGTGCCATGCATACACGCAGTTCTTGAGTTTTCCTGAGAAATACTCCCTCCAGCAACCTTCTCCTCCTGGGATGGTAGCCTTGTCATATAATTATCAACAATTTATAGTCTGCTTTTGCTTTACGGATGTGCAAGACCTCAGACTCTGGGTTAATAGAGACAGTATTAATATAACTTAACCAGTCCTATAGCTTCAGAACACTGCTGTTCAATATAACAGTACGTTTTTTTCTATCCTTTTTTTTCCAGTTCTATGATGACACCACTTAGATTTTCTGGAATTAGAAATACCTTTATAGAATTAAGTAGGAGCAAAGACCTAGACAGCAGCCATACCATAAAAAATGCATTGCAAACTGCACTCTAGTTCAGCCACAGCAGCTGCTTTGTGTCCCATAACACAAAATTTGGCACCTCTACTTCCTTTCTGTACCTTCATGCATTTACACCCTGCAAACCCAAACCCCAATACACTGTATTTTAGTGACAGAAGTCCTTACTAATCCATCAGATTTAGTTTAGATTGGCCTGGTCCTGCAGACCACTGTATTAGATGATAGCCTCCACTGCTTTCAGCTATTTCTGTAGTATAAAAGGGTCACTTTTTCCACCATCAATGAAAAAGTGAGCTGCACTCTTTTATACTAACTAGGCCAATGACTAGGACTGCCTGTCCTTTTTTCAGCACTAAAATGCAGCCACTAGGATTCTTTTCCATAACTGTGTATTTCCCAATCACCAGTAACAAAAATATCTGTTAGCAAGTTATAATAGTCACCAAAACCACCTCATAGCCAAAAAAGGAAGATTCATTTTCAATGAAAGTCTGAATATCATATTGGACCACAGCAAATGCAAATAAGTAAGAGATATTTATGTTCTGCTCACAAAGCATCGGCAATAGACATAATACAGTAAGAGCGAACAACAAGAATTTACAAAGAATAGGAATAACCATTATGTGGCAAAAGTTTCCCCTGAAAGACAGATGTACTCAGAAATAGATTCACAGTTTTTCTTTCCAGGCATATACACTGGGCCTCCCTCCAGGCATGCACACCACATTTCCTGGGGAAAGCAGAATATATTGAAAGCAAGGCACAGAGAGAATACATCTTACACTCAAGTCTTATCCCAAGAAGAAGTCAGGATTCAAGAGCTAAGCACTTATGTCTACTACAGAATAAGCTCCATACATGTATAAACAGAGTTAATAAACATTTAAAGTTATGTGTATTTGATAAAAGCACTCTTCTGATTTGGCTTTGGGTCATCTCTTCCTATGCTCTCAGAGCTGTGTAGAAGGCCACTAAAATTATTTCTGTAGACAAAATACAGTGATGTCCCGATAGGAACGTTAGAGGCATAGGAAATGTGATTAGGTATTGTCTTTGCTATTTTGGAAATCTAAAAAAATGTATATAGACTGCTTCCTCTATATTTTAAGACACATTTACTTTGTAACTATGATTTTTCACTTACAAAACTGAAGTTACAGTATTGAATCCCAAAGCTATATTTGGGTATTTAAAATGTAAACATGATAATTAATTACTACATCAGCATTTTTCATACACTGCTATTATTGTTAATAGATTGTGCTATAGAAGAATTAGTGGGCAGGGCAGATAATTAAAATTAAAAGCATGCATTAGTGATGGATGAATCTAATTTAGTGAAATACATTTTGACACAGCAGTTGTTTCTTGTCAGTTCAATGAGTTTTACTTAGAGGATATAACTTCTGGCCATAATCTACATGCTTCAAATGATAATCTGCTTTACACATAACTGCTTTTAGTCTGAATTCATGCAAAATTTGATAAGAGCCATAGTTCTGATTTTTCATAGTTTATGGAATTTAATAGTGAATTTTAAGAGTATGTTTATAGAATGTCATGCATTCAAAGACAGAAAAATAAATGTTTCCTTACACAGTTAATATATGTTTGTAATGACTTGAGTAATGTCTGATCTTTATTTAAACACTTATTTAAAAGGATATAGTGTCATTTTTAGCATATTCACCCAACCCCAACAAAATACCAAAGTAAACCAACCGTCAGCCTGAGTGTCTGTGAATACTTTGTATAAAGGTACTCCCCAAAAGAAACATTAAAAATCTAAAAGCAAGGAGAGGTGTTGAAAACAGTTTGAAATTTATGAACACTGATTCTTAGCTTATGTGCATTCAACATAAATCAGAAAGGATGAAGTGTGTCTCAGATTTGAGGTCAGCATATCAAAGCGTTATGACTGAATAACATTTATAGATGTATTCAAAGAGTAATGAAGTCACTGAATGTAACAGGGTAAAGATTTATGCCCACACACCAAAGAGGTTATTTCCTCCACTGGAACTCAAAATTTCAGTATTTGCAGGCAAAGAGTTACTCTTAGAAAGTTCTGAACAATATACTTTGAACAATAATTTGTTACTGAAAAGTTAAATATATATTCAACTATCAGTTGGTTATCCTCAACAGCTGTGGTGGTGTGCATGAGGTATAGATAAGTGCAGGAATCTGCACACTCAAACTGAATACCTCTTACTGTCATAATACATCACAGTCAGCTAATATGAGAAGATTACAATCAATTACTTTGCCTTGTTTTGTACCAATTTCAAAGAAAAGTATTTTTTCAATTCACCTAATACCTCACTCCTGCAGAAATTTTGATTCACTGTTCTCTTTGAAGAATTTTTACCTAACAATTCAAATTGACATAATTCCACAAACATAGCTTTGACAATCCACAATTGCACCTCAAATAAAAAGAAAAAGAGATCTGAGAGTGAAGGGACTAGGGTAAGATTTTCCCGAGCACCCAAGATAATTGGATGTTTAGCTTATTTTGATGCTTTTGTTAATTCTATTAATAGACTACCTGACTATTAAGACTACGAAATTTGTGTAAGACCGGTGCTTTTTTTCTAGTTCAGTATGGTGTGGACTGGCAGATAACACTTTTCGATTAACACATGCAAGCAGAACCCCTGTATTATCTCCTTTTTATGACATTTACTTAAGTCATCATTATTTGGTATGACCCTGCTTTTCAAAGTTTGTAGCTGACTTAGAGTTTATTTGTGGTTTTTGGTTTGTTTTTTTTCTGTAGTTGGATACACAATGAATGATCTCATTTTTGAATGGCAAGAAAAGGGAGCAGTTCAAGTAGCAGAAGGTCTCACTCTGCCACAGTTTCTGTTGAAAGAAGAGAAGGATTTATGTTACTGCACCAAGCATTACAATACAGGTAGGAGAGCATATTAGTGATTAAAACTGGAAAGACATTTTACATTTATTGTTATTTTGGGAAGTTTTGTGGTTTTTTTAATATTCTCACTGAACTCACAGGAATATTAAAATGTAGAGATGTATCGTGCAGGGTAATGCAGTCTTATATAACCCACACAATGAAACAAAACTACCTGAATGCTGATCAAATTTGTATTTCAGTAAACTTAATAAAATACATAGTTGAAACAATTCAGGAGTTATTCAGTCCCACACATAATCTGCGGGTTCTGAAGCACTGCTAAAATCCAAAGGTCCATATGCTATTGTGGTAGTTTAACTTGGCTGACAGCCGAACAAGAGACAGCCACTCAAACCCCGCTCTAAAAAAAAACCACCCAAGGAATTGAGGAGAAAATTGGAGGGGTAAAGGTAAGGAGACTTGTAGGTTGCGATTAGAACAATTTAATAATTGGAGTAAAATAAAATTAAAATAGTAATTATAATAATAATTATAAGAAAAAAATAAATAAGTGATGTACAGTACAATTGCTCACCACCTGCCAGTAATGATCCCGGAGGAGCGAAAAGGAACCCCCAAACTGAAATCACAATCCTGGAAAGGTGAGCCTGAGTGATTCCTGAGAGAATGCCCTCGCCTTTCTGGTCAGCCCTGGTTAATACACTGAACATGACGTAATATGATATGGAATATCTTATTGGCATATCCAACTGTCAATACTGGGTTTTGCTAACTACTACACTTTCCCCCTCCAGTCCTTTGCACTTGCAAACTACCCAAACACCATGTCCTTGTACCTTATCAAAATTCTTCTCATAACAAATCCCATACTGAAACCAAATCACAGTGCTTTCTAGCTACTAAGAAAATTAACTCTATCCTAGCAAAAACCAGGACAGCTGTGTACTAAGCATGGCATGGCTCAGTCAGGAAGAGGGGACACAAGGTTGCCAAGCCAGCTATCTCTGCCTAGCTCATACAGTGAGGGCGCAATGCAAGCAAGCTGACAGCATCCTTAATGAACAATGGCCAGATGTCCAAAATAGATGTCGCCTTTCTGAGTTGAAGACTTTGTACAACTGTGATGTTAAACTCATAATCTCTGGGATTATTTGAAAAAGGAGGGATTTAACATTACTAATATAGTTATTTTATTTTTAATTGCAAAAAAAATCTCTCAAGAACTGGACAATCACAAGTATAAGAATCCTCAAAAAAACAATGTAGCAAAGGCTAAGAATGCATAGCTTCCATCTTCTAGGGGAAAACAAAAAAAACCAACCTAGAACTCTTTCATTCTAATCTGCATCTCTTTAAATTTCTGCTCTCCAACAAGGTTCTTAATAGATTAAACATATCTTGAAATTTATATTTAGAACTGATTTATTTGGATTCTGCTGAAATGTCAGAAGGAATAAAATTCAATAGGTGTGGTTCATAAGGAATGTCCTGTTGCAATCGAAATTAAGGAAGAATGCTTTTCAACACTGAGTTCTATCACAGCTGCCATGGTGTCCTAAGGGAGGGAAAGATTCTCTGATGATTTCCATTTAGAGTGGGGAGATATTGATAGAAACATTTTGGAGTGTTCCATAAAATAAAATGGAAATACATAACATGCACTTTTACTGTACAAATACTAATATCTGGCTAATCCTTAAAAACTTTCCTGAAATTGACATATATATCCTATAACAGGGTATTTTTTTCACTCAAACATATCTTTGTTAATTATAATAATGAGACTAATATTATTCCTTTTTTCTTTTTACCATAATCCCTGTGACAAACAGGAAAAAATTATTTTCTTTATTTTTCTCTGTCTCCTTTAAGATACATAGGCAACTTCTTCCTTTTTAGGACTCTCCTGGTTTTTGTGCCATTTTAGCACGTAGCTGTAGTTCTATAACCTGTATAGTGATATTAGCAAATGAGAATTAGTAGTAGAAAGTATTCTCCTCATTTTTCCAAAGTTCATTTGGACAATATGATGCATCAAAAATTTCTGACTGAGGAATTAAAATATTACTGTGGTACTTAATGTGATATTAAACGGAAACCTGTTTTAAAATGTCAGAATTTCCAGTGTTTTCCAGATACCTCTCCAAGCATCTCATTCAAAGCTGAATTGTATGCTCACTTGTTTGTCTGAGAACTTTCATTACAATCATCATAGTTTAAACCTTTTGATTTTTACTGAAACTTCAGTTTTTCAGTATTTTTGAGCCATTACCTCTTTCTTCATAATCTGTTTCAAGTCAGTTTAAGTTGGTATTAATTTTCTTCTAAGCAGAAACAGGAAAACATGCTAGGCCTAGGCATAACACACTAGGTTGCATGGGATCAACTTACTGGACCTAAACTGAGCTGAGAAGTTGGAGGAATAGATCTTATTAACTGCATGTGATGTCTTATGGCTCTCAAAATGTGCCTGCAAGACAAGTGCCCTTATCCTTGTGAGCAACCATTGCATTTAGGTGAGAGAAGGGCTTTACTGTCATATCTCTAGAGAACAGTGTGGCCAATCATCAGTCTGTTATATTTCTACTCTGTATATATTGCTTTGTCCAAACTGCATTTCTGTCACGAAATAGGTGCTCTAAAACGTGAGTGCAGCCCACAACCCTGAAAAGGTGGCTGAAGTTCATCCCTTTACTTAAAAAAAATAATTGGGCCATTTAATTTGTCCCTAAATAATCAAGCCGTTTACTAATACAGAAAACTTGGAGCCTGGATGCAGGCACTGCCATATGCTTTAGGATGGAGATTTTATAAGACCTTAGCAAATGAGAAGACAATTACACAGCTGTGGGATGTGCCTATGATGGGCAGAGGAGAAAAAAAGCAATGCTGAATGGCACCGGCTGCAGGCAGAAGGGTCTGTCTTCACTAGAGGAAGCAGCAGACTAGCCTGCTCTTAAAATCAAGCACCAAAATCACAGGTACAAATCTGGAAGAATTTTGGCAGGGCAAACCAGAAAGAAAAGATAGTCTTACTCATGCAGGACTACATTTATAATGACATTCTCCTCTTCAAAATAACAGTATTTTCTCCAGAGTATCTATTTTTTTTAATTTATTTAAGTCTTCAGTATGAAGTTCATTTAATCAAATTAGGGAGGTTTGGCTTGGTTTCTTGGAGGGTGGGAGTGCCTTTAATTTCTTTGTTACAACCAGTATTATTAACTACCATGTGTAGTTAACACTGAACATTATATTAAAAAACAATAACTAGGAGTTGTTGTTTTCCTCCATTATGTCACTTGGATATGAGACCAGTAATGTGCTTTCTTAAGGCTCCTGCAATGAGATACTGCAGACAGATACCCCTTTAGGATACTCCACAAGAAACCAAAAAAACCCAACAAAAATTCATTTATCAAAACTAGAAATAAAGCCCATTTCTCTGGCCTACAACAGACTAGATAAAATGAATTCTTAAAAGAATGCTAAGCAACTGCAGCTGGTATGCAATAAGTGACCAAAGAAGAGTTTTCAATTTAAATTTAGTTACAGCACAGGATGGAAAGTTCTTCTGAGACATCCTGTAAAACAGAAAAAAACCTAAAAGTCTCTCTGTGAAACCAATTAACATGAAGCTTCAGAAAAGTATGTGGAAACTCATCAGTGCATGTCTTATCAGTGTTTCATGTCCAATTGAAAATGGATCACTGTAACCACAGCTTGAACAATCAACTGCTTCTATATATAGGGACATAACAGTTTCAGCAACAGTACAGCATAATGGCTCATCAAGTCTTGTGTTCTGAAGTGATGCAATATTTCTGATAATTTTCATGGTTTTGCGTCCACTGGCATATCTGCAGCAACAAATTTGGGAAGTCAAGTAGAATCATGAGAACCAGAAAAATCACAATATGTGAACCATTCATATTACAAAGATGGACTTGCTTTACCACATCCTCATTCACTTCCTATGCCACATGTATTGCCCCCCTTGGCTTTTATACAATACCTCATTTTAATTTAAATCACAGGTAATTTCAATCATGACTGCAAAAACCCCAAACATAAATACTGTGAATCTGGGCTTTATACCTGCACCATGGATTAACGTACTACACCTGCACTCAAATGATGCTGCTCAGAACTGTCATGTCTATTGATAGGTTTTGGCTCAAAGTATTGTTTGCAGTGGTCCTGGGAACAATGAAGCTATGGTTGCTACAGTCACCACCAGAACTGATGGATTCTCTATGTGACCATTTCTGATAAATCTGTATCCTTTAATCTACAATCTCGATAAAGTCCCGCTTCCTTAATTCCACATTCCCCACTGGACCTCCTAACACATACATCCCAAGCACAATCTTTTCTCACGATCCCTTTGGTTTCCCCCTTAAGGTCAAACAAGCTGGTTAACAAGCAGTGGATTGTGTCCCTTCTAGGTCATACCTTCAACTGACTTAATACGTTATTCTGGGGCATTTTGCTACCAACATGATAGTTATTAAAAGAGGCGTAGCTTTGATGCCTTACTCTGCCAGAAACTCAAACCCCTACTTTTGTTTTGACAAACACATAAACAACTCTGAGACTATAGCAGTGATCTTTAGCCAACTCTCTCAGAATGGAGGACCAAGCTACCTTTCGGAGGGACCTCCATTGGTATCTATTCTGGTGACTTCTGTTCAACTCAATATCTGCCAGGCTCCCAGGCCTTTCCCATAGAACTGCTTCTTAGCCCATCCATACCCAGCCTGTACCAGTGCATAGGGTTACCCCATCTACATCGAAGTACCATGCATTTGTCTTTGCTGACTGTCATGATGTTGTGGTGGGACCTCTAGCCTATGGAGGTCCCTCTGAAAGGCAGCTTGGTACTCCATTCTGAGAGAGATGGGAATTGCAAGTACAAATTCCTCAAGCTGAAAAATAAATTAGTTGCTCTTTTCCACATTTATTCTCAACTTTCTTTTACTGCAGTCGTTATCAGTCTTACACCAATGTTAAGTTTACCACCTGTCCCAGTATTT